AGCATAGAAGGGTCTGACTCAAGCACTTTTCATGCAGTCTGCAGGATTCCTGCGCGCACTCTGGCCAGATTACTGGGATAAATTAAGACCCAGCCTCTGCCCTTAACCTACGAGACAATTCTCGCCCATTGTATTAAGTGGTTTAAAAAAAAAAAGAAAAAAGAAAAAAGAAGTATCTGTCAGAACGGCGACAAATCTTTCTAGCCACGAGGTTAACACGGTGCATTATGTCTGTATGACAGATCATGACGGGAGGTGACAGACTTGCAGACCTCGGCCGAGGAGGAACAGCAGCCGGAGCAGATGATTCCAGTCAATGGGTGAGCTTCAGGCGGCCGAGAGAACGATGGCCTGAAGACACAGAAGGAATTGCATTTTGTTCCATTATCTCTGTGCCTGCCCGCAGACCCCCGTGCGGCCCCGGCCAGCGCATCCGCGCGCTCCGTGTGCGGGACGGGCGGCACCAAGCTGCCYGGGAACGCGCTGAACTCCAGCAGAGCTAACAGAAAGGGGGGTAAAATCCCCCAAATCGACACAACACGTCCTCTGAGCTCATTAACTGCTCTGCTGCTTGCTGAATGCGCTATTCGTGTTTCCGATAGAAACATCTGATTATTTTGTTTTCCTTCGGAGAAAACAGCTCGGAAAGGGCGTCGGGGCAGCCCGAGCGTGGCGCGCAGTGTGGCGGCCGACTCCTTCCTGCCGTTAGGCAGCGCTTCGAGCCCACTTCAAGTCCAGCTTTGAGGGCAGGGGAGCAAACAAAACGCCCCGTGACACGCGTCTCACCTCCCTGTCCCTAAATGCTAATACCAACAATAATACTAATAGTAAATAAATGCTTTAACTCCCACTTGGGGCAGAGCTCGCCTCCTCTCCCGATGCGCGCCTTGGCGGCTGCATCTTGGCCACATTTGCTCTTGAACGCGCTCCAGGGTGAATCCCTGCCTCTCTCCTGTGTTCCCATGGAGAGGGGGCGCCCACGGAGCCGCTCCGAGCCCCCGTCCCAGCCCTCATCCGCGGAGGCCACGCATGGCCGGCGTCTTCTCGCACCCCTGTGCACGTCTTCCAGAGGAGCATTAGAGCAAAAACGTTTTCTAAGGGAACGTTTCGGCAAATGCCAGATTTTAAGCACACACAGAAGGGTGCTGGAAGAAACACACGGATTTTAGGTGCATAAAAGCCAAGCACCGAGGAGCAGCCCTGCCGGGGCCGCCCTCCAGCCCGCGCTCCCTTCTGCTGCCATGCACTTCTCCCGGGCTGCTCCYAGTGCCAAGGGGCTGTCCTGGAACGCGTCCCCGGGATGAAGTCAATCATCCCGTGTGCTTTTTCAGGCACCACATGTTTTGAAATACCAGCGTGGGTTTGTGGAAGAGAGGAGGTGTCTTCAGGCAGCGCTGGGGACCTTTGGAGCTGCCTCCCCTGCAGCAGGGACACCCCGGGGTGCACATGAAGGGCAGCGCCACCACCAAGGGTGTCCCCCGGCACCCAGCTCGCTCTGCGAGCAAGTGACATTATTAACATGCCCCGTAGAGGCTTCGTCTTGGCTCGTTCTCCTCCTCATTTGCATTAATTTCCAAATACGACTGTTTGTGACCTTTATGAGCAGCGGCATTATGCRAGCCGGAGCTGGTGCCGGCCGGGCCCGCGTTCCAGGGTAGAAAACACCAGGAGCCACGAGGAAGGAAGCCGGGCTCCCGCTCCGGAGCAAAGTGAAACGAGGAAATGCCATGGGACACATAAATCACCATTTCAAGTCAAGTGCAAGGAGGGAGCGGGGAGCTGGCACGGCAGAGGAAGGGTCCCCCGCGGCGCCAAAGCAGCCGGCCCTGGCCCTGCTTTCTCGGGCAGCAGCAGCGGAGGSGCAGCGCGCGAGCGGCCGCTGAGCTGGGCGCCACGGCAAGCAGCTCCCCTTCGGGGTTCTTCAGCTTGCCCTATTCCAGCTCACTTCCCTCTCCACTCCTTGCGCTGYGCTGCTTTCGCCTCCCTTCCCGCTTGCTCCGTTCGGAGGAAAACCAGCCCTGGCTCTTGCATCTGTCCTGAATTATTGCCCTTACTCCGAGGGGAAGCTCCCATGGCTCTCCCAAGTCCTTCCCGGGCTGGAGCGTCCTCTCGCCAGCAGCAACGCCGTCCCTGCGTGTGCCGACGTCGGCTTACACGTTTCTGCATTTCTTAATCCGTCCCTGCTGAGTGGGCTTGTGGATATTCATGATCTGCTCTGCACCAGGCCCTTCCTCATCCCAATCCTCTTGMCCGCAGAAAGTAATCACAAAATAGGGGGAAAAAAACATAAAATAAAATATTTCACCTATGAAGACTATCCAGCTCACAAGGATGAGCAAACGGTGACAGAGAAAAGCAACAKTAAAGAATGAATGACAGAAGTCCCTCTTCCCAGGTGATCCTGGCTTTACCAGCCTGCTGCTTGGCTTCTGCTCCGCAGAGGAGCCCAGGAAAGGCTGCACAGCCAGGGCACGGARAGGAAGGGAAGGGAAGCGGCGCTCGGCCCACGCACACACACGACCAGAGCCGAGCCACACTAAATGTGAACCCCGCACTGCACATKTTTCGGAGATATAAAGATCTGGTGTACTGTAAAATTTATAGCTTCCTCTCCCTCCCCCAAAATAAAAAAAAAATTAAAAAACCCTACTGATAGAACATATAAATTCTGCTGAGACTCTAAAAGGTGCCATAAAACCTCCCTGCCACAGATACAGTAGGTGCTACAGTAGGTATTTCTATAACGGAGATTTGCAATGATTTGGGGGTTGTACATTGGGTGGTAATTCCGCGACGCTTTAGGCAATATGCCTATAATGTCCGACACAACAGAATGCCTGTTGGGTCTCATTTCATGTATATAAATTATATATAATCTGAACAAACACGAATGGTGGGACCCATATATAAACAGTCTTAATATTTCAACACCTACGTTTCTTTACGAACCTGGGTGGTTAGAAAGGTGGTTGCAAATGATTATTTCTCTACCAAGTTCACATGGAGTAGTTTGCTCAGTTTAATAATAGTCTATCTTGTTCGGGCTGAACAAACTGGTCCCTGTGGGAAAAAAAAAAAAGCCGGAGTAATAAATCAATAGCCCAGATGTAATCTTAGGTGTCTCGAATGCAGAGAGGGATTTGGGAGCATAATGGCACTGGTTGTCTATTGTCATTCAGACATGAGCTGCATCAGAAAAGGGCTTGTGGGAACCTGATAAGAGTTGGTCAAAAGTGGGCCATAAATCACGCGCAGGCAGCATTCTGCTGATTTCACACACGCGCTCGCTGGGAAGAGCGGGGAAAAGGGGAAAAAAAAGGTGATAGATCTGCAATTTACTGCTTATCGCATCTGCGAGCAGTTTCGTAATACAAAAGCCTGACCTTCAGTGAATAAACACCCGACTTGCCTACCTGTTCCTGCCCGGGAAGCAGGGCGCCGCAGCCGCCCGCGCGCCGCTGTGAAGGGCGGGAGCGCCCCGGCCTTAACCAGCCCCTGGCGGCGGCGGCGGCGGCGGCGGCGGCGGCTTCGGCTCAGAGGTGCCGAGCCCGGCCGCGGCAGCGGCAATGCCGCCCGCTCCGCCGGCCTTCGCGTCCAGCCCCTACGATCCCGGCCGCGGGGCAGGTTCCCGGCGCGTCGGCGGCTCCGTGCGCGACGGAGAGGACAGCAGCATCCATCACGCAGCAGCCTGCAGGCCGGCGCGCGCGGCAAGCACTGCCGGGATTTATGTCGCCGGGGAAGAGCCATTCATTTGGATCTCCAGCTTCCTGCGCGGCCAAAATTAAAAAACAAAATATTGAATGCGCGGCTGCTTGATTTAGCACACACAAATAGGTAATTGAGTGTATATCTGCTGACCTTCCCTAAGAGGAAGGGCATAAATATTCCGGCTTCATTCTGCAAGCCAAACAAACTCTTATAATAAGGGAAAAAAAATAATTATTTTATATATGTTTGTTCACCTTGGCCTGCTAGGATAGAAATTGATTCCTTTGTTAAAGAGGACGCTTGGAAGGGAGAAAGGGCTTTAATTTGTATAAAGTGCATTCCGGGAACTAACATTCTCCCGGTTTACAGGAGGAAAACATGGGGCATTGGATTTCACCAACACGGAGAGGAAAACCTGCCCTTCTTTCCTCCTTTTTAGCCCGAGGCCGCTGGGCACAGCGGGAGAGGCCCCATGCGGCGCCCRCAGGGCCTCCGTCCCTGGCCTGGAAGGAGGCAGCTCCGCCGGCTCCCGCGCTGCCTTCCCGGCGGAACGCGGAGCTGCCCAAGGCGCAGGGAGCCCTCCCGGGCTTCAGGGCCCTCCAGGGCTCGGGGAAAGAGGCGCTGGCTCTAGGGAGCCCTGCCCAAGGCCTCGGGAAATCCTGGCAATTCCCCGGCAGCTTCGTCCAGGGGCTCTTCCGCTAGGGCAGCATGTTGCCTGCGCTGTGCTGTGCCGCAGCTCGCACTGCATTAAGAGCAAGTCCAAATGGCCAGGCCATATGGAGGAAGCACGGACTAATYGGGGGAAGACACGCACGCCAGGCCTACGTGCTGCCTGGGAAGAGGGCGAATTAGAAACACCGCGTAGCCGAAACAGCTGACGGATCGACTCGGGTCCAAAGGGGCCGAGGGAATGCGTCACCGGGCAGCGCCAAGGCGGCAAATACCGAGGTGTTATCACCAGCGCGTGCCCCGCGTGAGCGCCCGGCTGCAGGCCGACTGCTCGGGGCTCTGCCAGGCTTGGTGGTCCGGGCCCTGCCACCGCACGGAAACCCTCGGGCACCTGCCTGGGCAGGCAGGCTGCGAGCCAGGGAGCGCTCGCAGCACGGCCTCACCACGCTCCTCGCCAGGGAGGCAGCGGATAACCGCGGTGCAGAGGGGCGCACTGCTGGGACACTGCGCTCCGCAAACATTCCTTTGGAAATGTCTGCACTACAAATTCAGCTCATTTCCTGCATGTCTATGCACGCGTGGTGATTTCCTCAAAGCTGGTTGAGAAGCACTCACCAAAACACGGCCGTTTCAAAGGGCTCTCGACCTGGGAGCTGCCCAGTCTCGGGTTTCGGGGTCCCCTTTCGTCCTCCAGCTTGATCCTGCAGAATCCTAATTGCCCTTATGCACTTGAACGCTTCCTAGCAGCCAAACCAAAAACGCAAACAATTGCAACAGATTTGCTATTGGAAGACTCTAGAGAAAATTTCACACATAAAAAAGCTAGGAAAAAAAAAAAGAAACATTTGATGCAAAAAAAAAAAAAAAGGATCAAATCTGCTTGTAATTACACATTACTTCAATTAATGTTTTATATGAAATGCATTGCTTACATTATGCTCAACAGCTATGGCTTACGCAAGGAGAAGGGAGTGTTTAAAGCTGGTTCCTAGCAACAGTTAGCCAAGGAATTGCAAATTCCAACCAAATCCAACCAGCAGTTTTGCATTTACCTAGCATTATTTTCCTCATCTTATCTCAAGCTCCAAGTCAGTGGCGAGATACGCYGGGAAATATAAACTGTTGTGTGCTCTTCCTGGCAAAGCCAGACACACACTGTAAACAGATTACTCTTGCCCAACTACTAATTTAAGACTGATCTGTTTATGTTTTAATTCGTCTGTAATTTGCTCTTCCTGTAGAGCAAATAAGATCTGTTCACGGAGTTAACAGCTACATCCTCATATAYGTACAAAGAAGATGGAGAGGTCACCAGCTCCATCAACCGCAGAGCGCGAAAAACTCACAGCATTAACCAGAAGACGATGCATTCTGATTTTCAGTGTAAATAACGGAGCTATTTGGGACAAGTCCTCCTGGGGATGGAGGCGCTCAGCTCAGGTGCCCCGGTGAGGGGACACGGATGCAGAAGAGGTTCCAGCAGTGTCGGGCAGAGGGCCCGGGCGGCGGGACGGGCTGGACGGTGCCGCAGGCAGCGAGGGCGGCACGGGGCAGGGATGCTCTCCGCGAGCAGCAGCCACGCCAAGCGCTGCGCAGCTTGTCTCATTACAGCGGCTGTGAAAACACTGCCGCAAAGCGCTGGGGCATAAATGAATTATTTAAGTTTTGCAGCAAATCACCCTGATCTGGTGTGCCGTTCCTTAATGCACTCTAAGTGAGCCCTAGGAGGCAAATCATAGCAGACAAGGGGTGTAATGTAAACCAAGGTTTATTAGCCACGAAAAGCCACACGATAACATTTATTAAGTATCAGAGGCAGTGCATTTAAATAAGTTTGATTTGGTAAATAACAGCCAGCCTTGCATCCGGCTTCCCTAGTTCCAAGGGCTTTCTTGAAAAACAAAATAGCAACAACAACAAAAGCMGTTTATTTTCCTGTCCCTCCCGCTAACGTTAAGGGGTTCTCCCTGCTTTGCAAATTGCAATTTTTAGCAAATTCCCGGGTGTTGTGAGCCGCCCGCGGCTCTGCTGCTTCCCCGCTCTGCCGAGCGGGAGCGCCTTGGGATGCGGGGAGCCCCTCGTGCCCTCATGCACACGGCGAGCGCAGACACCCGGGCGGACCTGGCGCTGCGGGAGCTGATCTCGCTCCCCAAGCTCCCAGATTGCGCTTCGGGAACAGCCGCCGCGTTCCCCACGGCCGGGGCACAATCAGCCCCTCTCCCTGGACGAGGAGAGCCTGAGCCCAGACGGGCAGTAACAATAGCTGGAACCAAACACCGGGCAGACGCTCGCAGATAAATCTTTCACGCCCCCACAGCACGACCGGGGCTCCCGCCTGCTCCCCAGCCCYGCACGAGGCACCCGGGCCAAACCCTCCAAAGGCACCTGGGCCTCGGGAGGGAGCACGGCCTGCGTGGTGGGGATCCCTCCCTTGCTTGGGACATCATGGGCTACCTATTACACATATAAAAGTATATATATACATACAACCCCTTTCTCCTCTTACTGGAGGTACCCCTTTTTCCTGGGAGGCCTGTCTGCAGGTTCCTGCATCAACAGAATAACTGAGCTGATACTCTTAACTGCAGAAAGCAACAGCCTTTCTCTAATATGACACTTCCTGCTATTTTTTCTTTCTCCTGGCTTTATATTTTTCAAAGCAAAAAGCAAAATGCTCTTCACATTTTCTTTTTCCACTGACTTTAATTTTTTTTTTTWAWYYKGKTTWWTWAAAAAAAAARATGCAGTTACCGACCAACGTAACCCTTTTTGCAGCGAGCACTGGCTATTTCCACGTGATGTGGAATTGATGGTATCTGGAGCRGGGACTGCTAGAGAAAGACTTAATAAAATTAGGCAGTAAAAGCAGCAGCTAAGAGGCCTCCTCTGTAGCAGGACGCACCAGATGTTGCAGAGGACGGAGTGCGTTTCACTCACAGCCCAGATGTGTAATATATACAGAAAGTGCAATGGGAACCCAGAGGAAAAATGATGCCACTTATAGCCGTCCATGAAGAGATTATTTTCCTATAGAAGGGAGCAATCAAACAGTTGTCCAACTACTTAAAACCAGAGATGTTCCTCCTTCAGCTATCCGCATCTGAAGAGGTGCTGCTGACACTGCCCTGGGAATAAAACCGCCTTAGGGAGCGTGTTGGATGCAGCAGAATTTCTTTCTCCTTTAAAACAAGGGGTTGCCTTCGGMTACCCCATTTCCACCCCAAAACCAAGCCCAACCAGCCCCACTACTGCCCAGGCACTGGCACAACATGGACTACAGAAAATCTCCATTTTCCCTGCAGTATTTTCCGTTCCTCTTCCCATTCCCCATGTACTCCCTGTATTAAGAACTGTTTCTATTGAGCACCACGTGGAATACACAAATATTAAGTATTTAAAAATACGAAGAAAAGTTAATTAGCAAATGACGGTATAAACAAGGAAATGATAAAATGGTCATCATAAAATATGGTAATGATCCCTTCCATGGCAATTCTTGCTGCTGTAATTAACCAGTAATACATTCCTCCCATGTTTCATATAGAATTTTACTGCCTTAATATATAACCAGGTCTCTTTAGCAGAATCAGCATAACTCAATCATCATCCTTGGCCATCTAGTATGACCAAGATTTGTATCTACACAAGGATAGTTTTAGTTTATATCTTAAAAACCCATCGTGCTTTGAGCAGTTTTCCAGGAAACATCCACGTTATCCCGCCACGTTTCTGACTTGACTGCCCCATCATTTCAGTGCATGTTTCCCCGTCCACGGCAGTGCAGCCAGGCACGGGAACATCTAAGTTTGATGGTTAAGTCTGTGTTATATAGGCCAAGCAACCTACAGACGACGCTGTAGCTGTGTTTAAGCGGCGTTGCAACCCTCTCCCCCAGACCTGCGGGGTGGCTCGTGCTCCTCTTTGCCCTTCTTCCTTAGACAGAATTCACAGGTTCATTGCTGAACGGAATGGCGAGTCCTGCAGCCCCATCCAGCACATGGAGCTGCCCCATCCCTCGGCGCTGCCCACTGCCTCTGAGGCCAAGAGGCTGGAATCAGGAACGGGGTGCGTGTACGGCTGGGGAGGCACCACCTATGGGTGCATCAGGCTGCAATAAGAACCCCGTGTCCGTGATCAAAGGACACGTATGAAGGAGCCCCACGCCAGTCCCCGCTCCGCGCACCGTATGGATGCCGCCCTGGAAGGACATGGCTCCAGGATGCAACTGGCATGGAGAGGGAGGGGAGGCAGAGGGGGCTGCGTAGCTGGGGCCCCGGGGGCTGTTGTGGGTGCTCGGCCAGGACGCGGGACCAGGCCAGGCCCGGCACTGGCACCAGCACCGGCCCCGTTCCTGCCACAGCCGGGCGCATGCAGGTGCCGGGGAGAGCCCGGCACGGCCGGAGGAAAGAGAAAGGGAAAAAGGAGAAGAAAAAAAATCAATACTAGCTGGACATTCATTTAAACAAATGCATCATCCCATAAACAGTGCAGCAGCTTTCAAATGTAAACAAGAAAAGGTGAACTTTGTTCACATTCTGGCTCCAGCTGTTCTGTGTTTCGGCACTGTGCGCCACAGCTGGGCTGATGAGCTCTGAATCCTGGGAAAAGGGGAAATATTTAACCTAACTTAAACAGAGCGACGGCAGCCTCGCTGCTGAGAGAGAGCAGGTGGAGCCACTCGGGGCTGAATGCGGCGAGCAGAGGGGCTTCACGACGAGAGCCGCCCCGGCGCCGCTTGGCTGGTGCCGCCGGTCCCGTGGCACCCGGCGCACGGCCCAAGGCAGCCCCTGCGCGCCCGCGTCCCGCGACGCCCAACCCGCACCGTGCCGAGGCGCGCTCAGCCTACGGCTCGATCACGTGTGTACACGTGTGTTCATGGCAGCGCCGCGCGCGCTGGGCCAAGGCAGCAGGAGCAGCTCATGTGGGGCCTTCTCGCCTTGGWTCCTTCTCCGAATCAAAGAAGCGGGGCTGTCTGTCCAGCTCAGCGASGGGCTGCACGTTCACCTTCCCCTGCACGGCACTTTCGCACTGGTAGGGGTTACCAGTTCTCACGGTTGCATTTCTGGGGATACACAAGCACATGGAGCCTGGGACAAGCGATAGGGAGGAAAGTTTCCTGCTCACYAAGAGCCCCAATTCTGTTCAGAGCTGCACTCATGCAAGCGACCTCCCCATTAACCAAGCCATGCCTGTAAAGATGGGCCCTAAGCTGAATTTTATCTGGGGAAGTGAGACGTGCAGCCTGTTATTCCAAGAGCAGGAGAGACCTGCAGCCACACTCACAGCAGCAGCAGATCCCTCAACGCGGCTGTTCCGGAGAGGTCAGGTTTGATGCTGGTTTCAGCACTGGGCACTGGCGAAGGAGGCAGTGGAGGATGACGACACTTTGGCCATGCAGGTCACGGAGCACTGGAAGGACGAGCGCGCTCCAAAGCGGCCTGGAATCCACCGGAGTCCCCASTGAGGAGGCCTTTCAAAGCAACAGGTCCCCCATACAGTGCAGAATCAAAGAGCAAAAACCTGCCAGAAAGGATATTAAGACTCTCTTGATTGTGAAGGCTCGTAAAATAAACGTGTTGGTTGTTACGGATTAAAGTGCGCAGCAGAAAGATGAAGGAGCACCTAGCATCTGGAGTCTATATTGTACTCTCTAAAATTCCTAGTAGGTCTGTGTCAAAAAAAGATATACTGAGATAAATAGGCTAAAATGAAAACATATCCCTTCAAGATGAGCAGAAAT